GACCTGAGACCAGCTGTTGGAGGACCTGAAGACCTGAGACCAGCTGTTGGAGGACCTGAAGACCTGAGACCAGCTGTTGGAGGGCCTGAAGACCTGAGACCAGCTGTTGGAGGGCCTGAAGACCTGAGACCAGCTGTTGGATGACCTGAAGACCTGAGACCAGCTGTTGGAGGACCTGAGACCAGCTGTTGGAGGACCTGAAGACCTGAGACCAGCTGTTGGAGGACCTGAAGACCTGAGGCGAGCAGCTGGAGGAGGTCCTGAAAACCTGAGACCAGCTGTTGGATGACCTGAAGACCTGAGATCAACTGTTGGAGGACCTGAAGACCTGATACCAGCTGTTGGAGGACCTGAAGACCTGAGACCAGCTGTTGGAGGACCTGAAGACCTGAGACCAGCTGTTGGATGACCTGAAGACCTGAGACCAGCTGTTGGAGGTTTAGGAGTGGTTTGGTCTGATGGAGGATTCTAGCTGTTCTTCAGTCCTGGGTCTTCCCTCTGTTCTAAAACATGCAGATGTTTTTCTTGATGAAGTCTTTCCAGATGTGTCAGCTGCTCATATCAGACACACTAATGCACCCCTATACCATCAGAGAGACAGTCTTTTGAACTGTGAGCTGATAACAGTCTGGATGGTTTCTCTCCTCTTTAGTCTGGAGGACATGGCATCAGTCCATCTGAAACGAGCTCTGGTCCAGAGAGGACGGCAGCGGTTCTGGACGGTGTTCACATCTGTCGTCTTCTTTGTCTGATAGAGCTTTAAGCAGCATCTGTGGATGATGAACAGAACCAGACCTGATTCTAATGCAGTGGCCCTCGTCATCCTTTGAGCTCAGATTTCTACAGATTATTCTAATCTGTGGATCAGATTATGAACTGGAGATGATGGAGATTAAAGTCTTTCATTCTGGAACTTTATTCTGAAATTCATTCAGGGTCTTTATTCTGAAAGAGTTCCACTAGTTTCAGGAGCAGTTCTTCAGACTGCTGAACCTCTGCACATCTTCACTTCTGACAGATTCAGCTTCTCGTTTATTAACGTGATTATTTATGAAACGCTCCTCCAGCTGTTTTTATACGACTTATTCTTCCAATCATCGCATTCTGTTTTTATTTACATTTTACACGTCCCATTTTTAATTTTGAGTTGGGTCCTAGATCTACATCCAGTAAATATTTCCTCAGTTTCATTAAAATCTGAGCAGTGGTTCATGAGATATTTTGCTAACAGACACACTGATAAAAACATTATCGTCTGTACCTTTCAGGTGATAATCCAGCTCCCAAACTACAACGGTTGATTGATGCATCAAAGTGACTTTTATCTTTAATTAATAAAGTTTTAAAGTCGGTAACTTGATCTGAACAAGAAGAACGACCCGACGTTCAGCTCAAACCTTCAGAAACACTCTGAGATGGTGGTCAGGTCAGCCGAAGGTGTGTCTTAAAGAGCCGAAACTGTCTGATTAAAAGCAGCCGAACGTCAGCGCAACCGAACGCCAGCGCAGCCAAACGTCAGTGCAGGCGAACATCTGCATAAGT